GATTTCCCAAGTGTTTGAACCAGTGTTGTTGTCGGCCTGCATCCTTTTGTTGTGGCCGATAAGGGCACCTTCACCTTGATCTTTTGAATTTAGAGTTCTCCAAGTACACATGCATAGGTGTAAGTAGCTAACGGCCTTGGAGTATACTGGTACCCGTTTCGTCCTGGTCATCCTCAGGATTGTGATTCTTTGTTTCATACCAAGCGGTGGTGCCTCAAAGGACTATGGCCGATGAAGGTCACCTCTCGCGTGTCACCCAACCGATGCAGTTAGGGTTTTATAGGCGTTTGCTTCGGCCTTGATTATTCCCTTGTAGTGTGTGGACGTGTCGTCCATGTTACCTATCAGTGGTACTACACTTGTGTTCAACTGATATGTACTTGGCCTAGTTGGGCGTGAGTTGTGGGGATTTTATTTTTTCATTGCTCGAGGCAGGCTAGTGTACGCGGCCGTCGGCTTCCCTCTTTTTCCCTTATATATATATATATATATATATATATATATATATATATATATATATATATATATATATATATATATATATATATATATATATATATATATATATATATATATATATATATATATATATATATATATTCGTTTCGGGGGTATCCTTCTTTCAGGCTTCGGCCGAAGGGTGTGCTCGTCCTTCAGCCGGTTCGGACTTCGTTTATAACGTCCGTGATCTCAGGGCGGGTCCCGTCGCCTATTTATGACGCGGGCTAGACTTTTGGTCGGTTTCCAACGGCTGTCGTTGCCCATCCCTGAGTTTTGGGATTTTGTCACCTCGGCCATGATTTCAGGCCTGTCGTCCTGCGATCTGGCGCGTGGACGACGCGGTGAGCTTCCCGTTTCAAGACGTGGGCCGTTTGCGGGCCCCTCGTCCTGGGGACATCGTCGGCCATACCTGAGCGTTTCACTTCTAGGCTTACGGGGCCAGGACGATGTGCTCTCTCAGCTAGGCCTGAGCCCTTCGCTGATACAAAATACAATGGACTGCCTGAGCTTGTCGCTCTTAGGCTGCAAAATGCAAGGGGCCACGTCGGCCATACCTGAGCGTTTCGCTCTGAGGTGGCCGACGGGGGCACCTGCTAATGTTTTACTTTGAATTTCCAGAGAAAAAATCAGAACATGATTTTATTCATAAGTGGCTCGAGGCCGAGGGTGGCGTTCAATCAGTAACCCGTTAAGGGGCGAGGGCTTCGCCGTCTACACCTCCTTCGGATTACTGATAAAACATCACCAGATGGTGTACATTCCATGTTCGTGGTACATTGGACCCATTCGGGCGTTTAAGCTTGTAGGTGCCGGGTTTGACCACGGCACTGACGATGTAAGGCCCTTCGTACTTCAATGCTAGCTTGCCACCCTCTGTCGGCTGGCTTGCTTCCCTTCGGCGGAGGACGTAGTCCCCCACCTGAAATTCCCGGGAACGTACCTTGGCGTCATAGTATGATTTTACTTGACGCCGGTAGTTCTCTGCTCGGACGTAAGCTTGCTCACGCCTCTCATCGACCAAGTGCAGGTCAATCTTCATGCTTTCCTCATTGGCGTCAGGCTCGTATTGTTCCACCCGTCGGCTGGGGATGGCAACTTCCGTGGGCGCCTTTGCCTCGAAGCCGTAGCATAGGGCGAAAGGCGTTTCACCTGTCGCCCTCCTCGGCGTGGTTCTGTAGCACCACAGGATGTTGGGGAGCTCGTCGACCCAACTACCTCCTGCGGCCTGGAGTTTCTTCTTCAACCCCTCCATAATTGTTCTGTTGGCGTTCTCGACCTGCCCGTTGCCCTGAGGGTAGGCAACGGAGGAGAAACGATGCTTTACCCCAAACTCCCGGAGGAGTTCTTGGAAAGGGGCTGCCTCGAATTGGGTGCCGTTGTCTGATATGATCTCCTGGGGGACGCCAAAGCGTGTGATGATGTTCTTGTAAACAAATTTTTGGCATCTGGCCCCCGTGATGCTGGCCAAGGGTTCCGCCTCGACCCACTTGGTGAAGTAATCGACGGCGACGATGATGTAGCGGTTATTCCCGGCGGCTCTGGGCAGAGGGGCGACCAGGTCAATCCCCCATCTGGAGAATGGAATTGCGGTGCTGACAGGGGCATAGTTGATAGCTGGCCGACCAGGGGCCTTCTGGAGTACCTGGCATGTGGTGCACTTCCTGGCCAGGTAAGCGCAGTCGCGTGCCATCGTCGGCCAGAAGAAGCCCTGGAAGACGAGACGTCGGGACATGCTTAAAGGGCCCTGGTGTGAGGAGCAGACGCCACAATGAACTTCTTCCATGGCTGTGTCGGCCTCGTCCTGGTGCAGGCATCGGAGGAGAGTGCCATTATAGGACCGTTTGTAGAGTTTGCCATCTTCGATGGTGTAGCTTGGGGCCCTGAGTTTGGCAAGTTTGGCCCTCTCCTCGTCCGAGGGCAGCTCCCCCGTTGTGATGAAGGTGGCGATGTCGGAGATCCAGTCCTCTGGTCGCTGTTGGACACACAAGACGGGGCTGGCATGGATGCTGGACATGCTCAACTCCTCGATCTTGGCCAACTGGGAGATGTGCTCCGGGGTGTCCGAGCTGAGCTTGGAGAGGATGTCGGCTTCGGCGTTCTCGGCCCTGGGGATCTGAGTGATCTCGTGGGTTTCAAACGCTTTCAGCAACTCCTCCGCCGCTTGTTTATACTGCTTCATCCGGCCTTCCTTTGCTTCGTACGATCCTTCCACCTGGCCCACCACCAGTTTGGAGTCGCACTTGATTTTGAGGTGCTTGGCCTTGAGGCCGGCCGCGAGTCTGAGACCGCTGAGTAGGGCCTCATACTCGGCTTCGTTGTTGGATACCCTGAAGTTGAAGCGGATGGCATAGTAAGCTCTGAATCCTTCAGGGCATATGAGGACGACGCCGCCGCCGCATGATTTTGCGGCCGACGAGCCGTCGGTGAACAGGGTCCATGTATCGTCTTGCTCCGGCCCGGGGTTGGCGACGGTCGTCTCCCTTGCTGTGCATTCGATGACGAAGTCGGCCAAGGCTTGCCCTTTGATGGATGACCTTGGCTTGATCTCAATTTGGAACTGGCTGAGGAAGATCGCCCATTTCACCATCCTTGAGGAGCTGGTGGGGCTCCTCATGAGTGCGCCGAGAGGCTGCTGGGTCAGCACATGGACGGTGTGGGCCTGAAAATAGTGCCCCAGCTTTTTCACCGTGTGGACGATGGCCAGCACCGTCTTCTCAATGGGGGAGTACCTGAGCTCGGCCTCCCTGAGTGTCTTGCTGATGTAGAAGATGGCCTTCTACTCTGTCCGCCAGTGGCGGTCTTTCTTACTCTGTCCACCAGAGCCGTGACGGCCCTGGGCACCCTGGCCGGCCGGGGACGGACCCGGGGCCGGCGAAGGATTTGTCTTCTTGGGGGGATGGCCCCCCTCTCTCTTGTGGTTGTGGAGCTCGTCGGCGTCGGCATACAAGCCTCCGCGCTGGAGCGCCTTGGCGTACGACCTCGGAGGGTCGGTGATCAGGCTTCTAGCGTACGGGGAGCTGCGGAGGGCTCCCTGGTACAAGACGAGGAGGGTGCGCTCATCGGCCCCTTCGACCTCCTCGGTCTCCCTCGTCCACCGATCAATGAAAGACCGGAGGGACTCCTCGTGCTGCTGCTTGACGGATAGGAGGTGGGTGAAATACTTCTTCGCGCGCTTCCTCCCAGCGAAAGGAGTGAGGAAGCGCTGGGCGAGATCCTGCCATGAGTCGATGCTCCCTTCGGGGAGCCCGTTGAACCACTCGTACGCTGGCCCCTCGAGAGTAGAGAGGAACCAACGGCAGAGGTATTCGTCGGACGCGTTCACCATCAGCATGTTGTTCTGGTAACGGCTGAAGTGCTCTTGGGGGTCTGATCGGCCGTCGTAGGACTTGATGGCGTTCCCCCTGTACTTCTCCGGGATGGGGACCGAGAGGACCCTGTTGGTGAAAGGGGTCCTGGTCCTGACCTGGATGATGGGGTCACCTCGCCCTTCGGCCAGCTCCCTCTCCAGGGCGCTAACTTTGTTCATGAGCGCGTTGAGGCCAGGGTCGTTGGAGGCGCCGGCCGTAGGGATGTTGGACGACTGCTTGGCCTCCATCTGAGCCAGCCTCCTTTCCAATTGGGCGATGACCTCGTCCCGGGGGTCCCTGTCGGCTGCGGCGGCGCCCGGCTGGTTCCTCAGGCGCTCGTTGTGAGCCGCGTTGATCTGGTGACGCACGTCATACTCGTGCAACCTCCCCTTGCCCTTGTCCGGGCGGGGCTGGTCCGCTGTCCGGGACACAGACCCCAAGCTTTCCCTTGGCGAGCCAGGACGAGGATCCCCAATCCATCCCACCATCCTCTCCGAAACCGGACGACGACGCGTGTCACCTAGCCTATTGAAGGTAGAGGCTTTTCCACGCGCTGGGGTCTGCCCGGGCCGAAGAGGGGAAGCAGGGTGGGAGTGGGACGATGTCGTGTCCTGGGCCACAACCCCCTCATTGTTGCCTATCTGGACGGCCAACGGTTGGGGATGAGGAGGTGGAGTGACGTTTCCCCCGGTCCTTGGCAAGAGTGCGCTGAGGACGGTGGGGTTCTGAGCCAGGCTGGCGATGATGACCGATAGCGCGGCCTGGACCTGCGGATCCACGGACGGAGAGGCCGCGGCCATAGGCTGGGCCGGGGCGTGGTCCGTCTTCTCAGCTCGTTTCTTTTCCAGGCTGAGGCGGGCATCAGGGACTCCGCCGTTGAGTTGGTTGCGGAGGTCCGTCGTGAGGTTGAAGGCCTCCTGGAAGAGGTCCCCTCCGCCGACCTGGTCAGCCGTGGCGTCCTCATCGTGCTCCCTGGGCTCTTGGTCCTCAGGGATGGCTTTGCTGACGAGGTTGCGGTTTGACTTAGTTCTCCCCATGATCAGTGGTTAGCTGTGCTTGGTAGCGACGAAGGGTGCTAACTTGATTGTTCTAGCTCTCAACGAGAGCACCAAATGATAGAGTATATCTCTAGAGAGAAGTGAGAGCTAGAGAGAGAAGTAGTATATTTGCTTGATATTAATGAATTTTGAACCCCTACAACTACTCCCAAGGGGAGTATTTATAGAGAAAATACGGGCTGGGCTCCCAAGCCTTGGGCTTGGGAGGCCCATATACAACTGGACCGTTACTGGGCCGAATACAAAGCCACTAATGGGCTGTACAAATGAATAAGTATAAAATCCGGTTCTGTGAGGTCTTCGTGGCCGACGAGGGCGTGGCCGACGAGGGCACGACCGATGAGGGCGCGGCCGACGAGGGCACCCGGGTTCCTTGGCTTCAGGACCATAATCTGAGTTGGCACCTTCTTGGCCGACGGGGGCGTCTTGGTCGACGAGGGCGCCACTCTGTGTCTTGTGCTTTCTGTTCTTCCGAGTATGTGGGTCCAGGGGCTCTGACCCATATACTCCATCAATAGCATAGAGACACCAGTAGTATCCTGGATCACAAATGTTTGCATACATATGTAAAAACACATCTCGGCATCATATCATTCTTCCCTGATAAACTTTGGTAGTTGCTCTCCTTTAGCATCACCCAATCTCTTTTCACTGTACATAACTAGCTCCGTTGCCATTTTTTGCCTAAACATTGGCATTTCCTCAGCATCTATCCCATCCAGCTCCATTTCCATGATTAAGAATTCAGCAACCTTGAGTACAAACATTCCACAGTCCCCTTGTAAGCAAATAGAAAATTATAGTTAATCACAAATTATTTTTCATTTCACTTCTTTATGATTTTTGTAACTATAAATTTATTTTCTTACGCATTGTTCTGTTGTGGGCAGTTTTCTTCAGCTTCTATTTCTAATGATCTGTCTCCCACTGGCTCCTCCCCTGCATTTTCATACACTTTGTAGAAATCCATGATTTTAGTAAGCAGAATTTTGATGCTCGGCATGAATGGGCGGATATCTTTCAGTGAATTTCCCATTCATGAACTGGAGTTGTGAACTTTAACCTTTCTCATTTTGATGTCCAACACGAGTAATACCCAATGCTGACCAATGTTCACAGGTAAGTATACAAATTGGTAATTGCACCAGTGCAGTGGAAACTTTGATGCACTTCCTAACACGCTATGCATAATCTCATCATCATCTGCAGCTTGCTCAACATTTCCTTGTCCATTGAGAATTTTTCCATGCTCACGCCTTAGTATTTGTATAAAAAAACCTCTGTCTGTGGCATACTGTTGCTTCAGGTTGTATTCAAGTCTTTTTACATCCAAGTAGTACATCCATACTTTGATATGTTGTATAATATAATACAATATCCATCAATAAGAATGTTTTTCATATTTATATACATATATACACATAATAATCTCAACTGCAACCAAGATGAACTTATTTTTCAAAGTTTCCTATTATTTTAACTTTCTGTCATTGTATCATTAAATTGACCTGATCTTGGTATAAGTCATATATGTTTCTGCCAACTATAAATTTTGGCATTTTAGTGTTTATATATTTGTCATTCTATTAGCTATATATTTGTCATTCTCTTAGCTACATATTTGGCATTCTAGTTTCTACTACAAATTAAATGCAGATGCACTCATACCGTGTCATGTAGCCACTGCTCGCTGACATAGATGTTGTATATCCATGTTTTGGATTCACATTTTATTGTACCCAACAACATCGGAATGTCGTGCATCCTGTCCTCATCCTTCTTGTATCTTCTTTCTTCATTACCCTTCGTTCTCTGTTTTGGAAGTCCAATGCTTAAAAAGTTACCAACTCTTTGCACTTCATTTGCATGTGGTGTGTCAGTTGGATCTTCAGAGAATGGGCCATATACTTTTCTTGTTGGTGGTAAAAATTCCTCCTCCATTTTTTTTGTATGGGCATCCATTAAGCATAGGCTATGTAGATATTTGTTTATTTATTTTTTCGTAGTTGGAGCGTTAAAATATGCATGTTCCTCTTGTTTCGCTGACATAAGATATTCCAAATCTAGATTACTGTTCCCACCTCTTCATCCACCAATTAGAATTGAATCTATCTAAGAGTTTATCCAAAATCAGCTTCAATTATTTTGACCAAATAAACACGCCTAATCTTTTTCAACAAAAAATCATCCGAATAACTTGGATAGAGACGCATCATCCTATAACTGTACCCACCTCTTCAGCCACCAATTGGAATAGCAATAACGAAATAGTGTTCCTCATATTCTGCCCACTCCAAACATTATTAGACATCCACATTCACGTATAACCATTTATTTTCAATATTGTTTATATTTATTTGCTATTTAGGCAGCTGACCCACTTGACACTGATTTTTTTGAGCGGCAACTTTCATTCCAAGAAATCTTTTGCTTTTATATATTAATAGACACCGTTTTCGAATTAATTCTTATGTGTAGTGAACTTCGCATGTCCGATTCGAAATCAGAATCTTCAGTTTCACTTTGGAAATCAGAGTCTTCCATCTTCATTCAACTTCAACTAGAGCTCTTCCTTCAACTTCAACTAGAGCTCGACGTTCTCTTTCTTCTACTTCCACTTCGCCGTTTGGATAAGTTGTGTGCGAGGCTCGAGATTTGGCTACGTATTCATATCTTATTTTATTAACTCTGAGCTTTGGAAATCAAATTTCGGCGCACTCGGCTTCTGTGTCCATTTCCAAATGGAAAACCGAAACGACAGTTTCCTTTTCCCGTACATGGCTGGAGGTTATAATTGGAAATTCAGTTTCTTTTTACTCCTATGCGGACGGATGGTAAAGTGGGACTCCTAGTTTTGCAATTTTGGTCTTATTTAGTCTTATTTTGGTAAAAATCCCTATACTAAAGTGAATTAATTTTATGATTAATAAATATAAATCTATTTCAAACCTTTTGAAATATGTAGTAAACACTAACACAGACATATTACAAATTATAATTATAATGTGTGAAATAAGTTGATAATTGTGTGTATTAAAGTTAAACAACTCTAATTTTATTCTTCAAATCGAATACATAATTACTAGACGAAGTACCCGTGCGATGCACATGATATATCTAGAATTGAATATATAATGACTTAATTAAAATTATGTTTCATGATGGTAGATAATGTGTAACTTTGTCAAATATAAAAAAGACGATAAAGTTTATGTGATGTTACTTTTAGTAATTATATACGAAGTATGTAGTAGTAGTTGTAATAAAATGCAAAAGTGGACCGTAAGAATTCAAGTAAAATTAAAATAAACACTAAGGTATAACCAATAATTCTATGTGACAATGAAATAACTTGATAGTACAAAAATTAGTGGGCATCATGAGATGTTTTTTTGCTGCATTTTCTGACATATATAGTATATGTTATGTTAAATGATAACATCATAAGACATACAAACCGGTGATCGACAATATGCTAGCACATGTAGTGATTAGCGGTTTGCAGCAATGAAAACTTTGGGACATTATTTAAAGAGGAAAGTAATAGGAGTAATGAATAATGTAGAAAAAGTAAGCGAATGTGTTAATGCATGAAAGAGAATATAAACCGTATAAAAAAGTAAGGGAATTTCACATTTTTAAGGGACAACTTACTCAAAAGGAAAGTGTAGCAAACTTTTAAATATATCATAAAAAGGAAAGTGTAACAAACTTTAAAATATATAGAGAGTATCTATAAAAAAGTTTTATGAGACACACTAATTATACTATCAAGTTAATTCATTGTCACATACACCTTATCTTTTATTTTGAAGTTACTTGCAGTTTTTAATGCGATCCAAATTTACTTTTTTTTTACATCAAAAAAAGTTTTATGAGACACATTAATTATACTATCAAATTAATTCATTGTCACATAGAGTTATTGTCACATACACCTTATCTATTATTTTAAAGTTACTTGCAGTTTTTAATGTGATCCAAATTTACTTTTTTTTACAGCTATTACTATGTATATAATTAATAAAAGTTACAACACATAAACTTTATCGCCTTTTTTATTTGGCAAAATTACATACTCCGTATTACATACCATTACAAAATATAATTTAAAAAAAGTTACTATACAAGTCAAGATGTACGCAGTGCATCGCACAGGTACTGCGTGTATTTTATATTGAAAATGTTACTTCCCTTGCTATGGATTGTGGTATTTACTTTTTAGTGTTGGGATCTTAATTTGTGTGAATTTATATTATCAACATAAAATAATGTTTTTTTATTTAAAAAGTTAAAGTAGTGTTTCCAAAGACATATTTTTTGCTTAATAAGTCACACACTATAATTGTACTATCAGGTTATATATTTAATTTATTTGGTTGTCACATAGAAATATTGTTATACTTTATCGTTTATTTTAATAGTAATGAGTGTTTTATGAGAAACCCTCATTACAATTTTGGATTTCATCTTGTTCTTATATAAAAGGGAAATTGCAATGAATAAGACTAAAAACGTTTGTATATTCCAAGATATGACTATCATTTTTTATTCCATAAATAGGAGTAACTATTGTCACGTTTGAAAAATACTGTCACGTTTAAAGTCACGTAAAGTCAAAACATGACAGTAATTATTTTTTAGGAAATAAAAACATAACATTCCTATTTTGGAATTGACAAACATTTTTACTCCTATTTAGAGAAATTTCCCTTTATAAAAATAAAGATTATAAGAAATAATATTGATAATTAATACTATAATTGTAAATCGGTGACTAAATTATAGGGAAATTGTCTTGAGTAAACATGTTTTCAAATTTCAAAATAGGACTACTTTACATGTCTTTCTTTACGAAATAGGAGTTGCCATTGTAATGATTGAAAAATACTATCATTACTATATTTATTTCGGGAAAACAAATATAGTAGTCCTATTTTGGAATTCCAAAACATGTTTACACCTATATTGGGAATTTTCTCCTAAATTATACGCCCTCCGTCTCATTCAACTTTGCTAACTTTTCTTTTTTGTTTGTTCCAAAAAACTTTATAACTTTCATTTTAAACAATGAATCAACTTGTTTTTCTCTCCTGTGACAAACCCGAATCTCATAATTTTTAATTTTATTATTTCTCACATATTTTGAAGCTAACAAAGTCCACCGGAATAGAGGTAATATACTTTCTCTGCCACATATTTTTTTACTTTATAAAAACAAAGAGTATGAGAAATAATATTGATAATTAATACTATAATTGTAAATCGATGACTAAATTATAGGGAAATTGTCTTAAATAGGAGTAAACATGTTTTCAATTTCAAAATATGACTACTTTACATGTCTTTCTTTCCGAAATAGGAGTTGTTATTGTAATGACTGAAAAATACTATTATTAATGACAATACATATTGTCATGTCAATGCCGAGTATTGTAACTATGTTGACAGTGAAAAGTCGAAAATGACAGTAAATACTCTTATTTCAAAAAAAAAAAAAAACAAATATAGTAGTCATGTTTTGGATTTCCAAAACATGTTTACACCTATATTGAAAATTTTCTCCGAAATTATACCCCCTCCGTCTCACTCAACTTTGCCAACTTTTCTTTTTTGTTTGTTCCACAAAACTTTATAACTTTCATTTTAAACAATGAATCAACTTGTTTCTCTCTCGTGTGACAAACCCCAATGTCATAATTTTTACTTTTATTATTTCTCACATAAGTTGAAACGAAAAATCCCATTAAATTAGCAACTCAGTTTATTACGTTGTGTATCTAATTAGAGTATTTAAATGATTATAAGTATTCATTGATTATAATTACTACATTTTAATATATCTTTGTGTAGATTATAATTTGTGAAACATTACACGGGAAATAAGATTTACGTTATAAAAATTTAACTTGGAAAAACTGTAGCACAAACTTTATGCGGTAATTAATTACGATGACAGATTTGTTGCCAAGTATTATTATTATATAAGTAACACACATGTGATTCAAATTTGTTGCCAAATTTGAGTTAAACTATTCTTGTGTCTACTATTATTAGTTATTAGTATACGGAGTACATATATGGTAGATAAAATTTATACCAAATTAGAGATATCATCATAAATAACTAATACGTAGTATCTTATTTTCATTGTAGGCGGGAATTTTCACTAGTACAAAAAAGGCTTTTTACATCACTTTTTCTACATGTGTTATCCTATAACCCATGTGAAATAGTGACACGGGGTCATTTTTATAATTTTAAAAAACTTTTTCACATGGATCGTTGTTATAACCGATGTTAAATAATGAAACGGTGTATATTTTATAATTTTAATAGATGTTTTACATCGGTTCCATGTGCAACTGATGTCAAAAACAAAACGGGGTCAATTTTTTAATAAATGAATGTTTAGTTAACATCGGTTCAAACCGCTTTAGAAAGCTGCGAAAAAAAAACATATGATACACGGCTTCTTTGATTAAAAAGATTTCAAACCTAGGCAACTAATTCTGTAACTCAGCGGAGCAGCGACCATCGTCCAGCGACTAGGGACGGTCGATGAGCAGCGACCAGCCGCCATCGATAGACCCGACGACCACAGACGGACCCGACAACCACAGACGGACCCAGCAGGCGCCGAGCGGAACAGGCTGTGAGCGGCACAGGGGGCGAGCCGACCAGGCCGCGAGTGGAGCAAGATGCGAGCAACGTAGGTCGCAAGCAGAGCAGAGCATGTTGGTAGCGCGGACACAGGGCCTCTTGAACAGTCATTTCGTCTCTTCCAGGTAACCTAGTTCTGTATTTTTGTATAATTTGACCTAAAATTGATATTGTAAATTAGGTGTTTGATAAAATGTTTGAAACAATCTTGAAGAATTAAGACAACATTTTTGCTAAATAAATTGAATGGTAAGCTAAGGTCTGAGAGTATTCTGAAAGAGTCAAGCAAGCATACTCTTTACTTGGTATTATAAGTTGATATTTTGCTTGGGGCTTTTGAAACTTATTTAGATTATGAATTTTTATGTTGAAGGTTTATGACCCAATTCAGAGAGAGATGTATACAGCCTTGAACTGTCCACCACAACTCGAAACTATCAGAGAGAGATGTGTACACCCTTGCTTGAACTGTCCACCACAACTCGAAAACTGGGAACTAGTAGGAGGTGACCCCTGTGAGGATCATTGGGTTGGCGTTTCCTGTTTTGGTTCATCCGTGACTCACATGTACACCACCTTACACTATTTAATTTACGCCCAGGAAGAGACCGTCATGCATATTCACTGTGCTCTTTATTTGATATGACATACGATAATTTCTTGTAGTAGTCTTACTGGTTTGAACCTCAGTGGCACTTTAGACTTCCAGATTTCAAATCTTCAACAATTGATCGAGTTGTAAGTTAGTTTAATCTTCATTGTCACTCCATTAGTTTTGTCTCACGGTTATTATTGGTTTGATGTTTCTGTTCGTTTAGGGACCTGAGCTCAAATAGTATTGAAGGTGAAATCCCATACGTCTTACCACTTAATATGATGCACTTGTGAGATAAGTTTCCTTGTTTATTCATAGTTGAGTCAATTTGTTTCTATACCTTCAGCTTATGAAAATTTTATATATAACCTTCTTAATTTGGAAACTGCAGGAGTTTGGCAATAAATCGTTTCAGCAAGAGAATTCCCGATTCTCTATCGAACCTGAAAACCCTCAAAATATTGGGAGTAGAGTTCAGTAATTTACACTAGCTGTTATGTTTTTTCGGGAAACTGGAAAATGCAAGGGAAAGATATAGAGGAGGATAGAGGCAAAATTTGGAGGGAAATAACACGTGGGAATGAAAATTAGATTTTTGTTTAACCTCATATTTACTTGTATGCTTCCAAGGTTCGAAATTGCGTATTGAGGCATGTAGTCATGGCGAATTTTTGGAATTGCATATTGCGTAAGCCTCATTGCGCAATGAGGCATGTAGGTGAGGCGTGTGTGTATATATATATATATATATATATATATATATATATATATATATATATATGCATGTAGAAAATAATAAAAGTTGAAGTGTATAGAAAATTAACATTGATCTTAAGCATCAAATTAAGCAGAGCACTAAATATTAGTAATAAAGTTGAAGTTAACATCAATTATTAAAACTGAAAGAACTTACTGATGCAGAAACTTAAAATATTAAAAGTTAACCTCTGATAGGTAATAAAATATTAATATGCAGAAGTTATTAAAATTTGTAGAACATTAAAATAAAATTAACATCAATATTTACTATTAAATTAAATAAAACACTATATTAATATTAAAGTTGAAGTTATCATTATATATAAAAACTGAAAGAACATAGTGGTATGCTGGACTTAAACGATGAAAAATAAGAAGATATCAATTAGCCAAAAATGTTAAAAGTTGAAGAATATTAACAGAAAATTAAAAATAATATTTAGTATTAAATTCAATAGAAAAAAACTACAAAACATAAGTATCAAACATAGAAGCAGTAGCGTAGAAGAGGACTGTCTGAAAGATGAAGGCTGAAGAAGCTAAGTAACCAAGTGAGAAGAAGGTACAGGGAAGAAAAGGTTATTGCGTAGAGAATTCCGTAGAATATGAAAATAATATCATCGTTTATGGTATATACCCTGAATCAGATATGTGTTTTATTAAAAAGTGGGCTCTGTGGGCCCAAAAAACCTTACACACCAGACCTCATTTAGGGTACGCCTTAACACGCCTCATTGCGTAGGTTTTATTGTGTACGCCTTTACGCACATAACGTACGCTTTAACCATGTCCGCCATATGCAATGCAATTCTACGCTATATACCTGGAAATAGGCGAGGCGCACCATAAGGCACTATGGCATTGCGCAATTGCAAACGTTGTATGCTTCTAGCTTATAATTACTAAGAAGCCTTTATGTGGACAATTGGGAGATTTTAGTGGCTTGGGGAGTCTGAGAGAGATGTACACTATCATTCTAGATATTTCTTTTCTTTTGTCTTACTACGGAAACCATAAAAATTGACAGAATTGAGATTTGAATATTGTGACCAAACTATGCATTTGATATTCAAGCTTTACAGATGAGTCATCTAGTACTTTGTCACTTTATATTGATAACTAATGAAATGATTAATGTATTTTTTATCTCAGGGATCTATCACACAATAACCTCACTGGAGATCTACCTAGTTCAGTTGGAGGGTTAACAACCCTGATATCATTCTAACTTTATTTATCTGTTTATTCACAATAGCATGATCCGTTCTCCCATTTTGAATAACTTAAACACCTGAAAGAGAATAATTGTAGGTTTCTGCAAAACAACTCATTCACTGGATTAGTCATTCTTTTGTCTCAACTCCCACTAAAAGACCTGTGAGTAATTATCCATACCTGAAGCATCCACAATATTGTAAGTTGTGAAAGAGTTTGTTTGATCACTTTGTATCATCTTCATCATAATCAGTGTTGGTAATTATGATTAGTAATTATGTTGTTCTAACATGTAGTCTCGAATGCAAGTTGGGAGCTATGAATGTGGTTATTATGTGATGTTCCATATGTTGAATATTGTTTTGGCGGTAATTCTTGAAATGTGGGATGAGGTACATTATTATTTTATTTACATTCAATAGGTTTGCTCCATGTAATGTTATTTTAATAACCCTCTTATTTATTTTGTAGCGATTCGTCAATCCGGAACCGTTCTCATCAGAAGAGATTGATGAAGTACGAACTCGTTGGGCATCATATTTCTTAGAAATGACGCAATCCATCAACCACACATGTGCAACGACACATCATATTTAAGTTTTTGAGTGATGATGAGACTTGTAACTTTATACAATGTGTTATTACTCTAGACTTGTGCAAGATTTTTTTATTTTAGCTTATTATTATGTACTAAGTTGTTACTTGAACTTGTTTAACATTTGTGAAAGAATTGAAAAATAGCTTGTGTTATTGTTTTAGATGGATCAAGTGAACGGGTGAAAAATTGTGCTAGAGTAGTTGATGATACTGTTAATGATGTGATTATAGTATAAATGGGGTCATATTGCAATTTTTTTTTCCTGAAAAATACTGAAAAAATTGAAGCTTTTCACATCAGTTGTAAAATAACCGATGTGATTTCCTTTCTACATGGGTTATAACCGATGTGAAACACATATGTTCCGGAAAAAATGAAGCTTTTCACATCGGTTGATAAAATGACAGATGTGAAATCTTTTCTACATGGGTTACAACCGATGTAAAAACACTATGCTTCGGGAAAAATTGAAGCTTTTCTACATCAATTGTAAAATAACCGATGTGATTGCTTTTCTACATGGGTTATAACCGATGTGAAATATCATTTAAAACGCCGTTTTGGACTATCTTCTAGATCGGGAACTGAACGACCGATGTAGAAAGAATTTTCACATTGGTTCATTGACCGATGTGAAAAGTCAATACTTTTCACATGGGCTGGAACCACATCGGCTGTTTGACCGATGTGAAAGCCTTTTTTGAACGATGTGAAAAGCCTTTTTTGTACTAGTGTTTTGAGCCAAATTTTCGTTCATTTAATATGACTAATTACCAAATTTGGGTTTTCCATTAATTCCCTATTTTGTCCTTATTTTGGGCGGGAATTTTCTCTCCAATAATTGGGCAGACACTGTTGCGTTATATTATATAAAGATTCCGGTTTGTTGCCAAACTTGAGTTAAACTATTCTTGTGTCTACTATCATTAGTTATTAGTATACGTAGTACATATATGGTAGATAAAATTTATACCAAATTAGAGATATCATCATAATTAACTAATAAATAATATCTTATTTTCATTGTAGGCGGAAATTTTGGAGCCAAATTTTCGTTTATTTAATATACCTAATTATCAAATTTGGATTTTCCATTAATTCCCTATTTTGTCCTTATTTTGGACGAGAATTTTCCCTCTAATAATTGTGCAGACACTGTTACTTTATATTACTCCCTCCGTCCCATATTTAACTCCGGTTTTGACCGGGCACGAGTTTTAAGACAGTGGGATTTGTGTGGTGGAGAGTTATGCAGAGGAGAAATAAATGTGTAAGAATGGTTGTGAACCACATATTCTTTACCAAAAAGGGAAAAGGGAGATAAATTTGGGACGGGCCAAAAAGGAAAGAATGAAGATAATTTCGGGACGGGGGGGGGGGGGGGGGGGGGGGGGTATATAAAGATAAGTATCACACATGTGATTCAAATTTGTTGCCAAATTTGAGTTAAACTATTCTTGTGTCTACTATCATTAGTTATTAGTATACGGAATTAGAGATATCATCACAATTAACTAATACGTAGTATCTTATTTTCATTGTAGGCGGGAATTTTGGAGCCAAATTTTCGTTCATTTAATACAACTAATTACCAAATTTGGGGTTTCCATTAATTCCCTATTTTGTCCTTATTTTGGGCGGGAATTTCCCTCCAATAATTGTGTAGACACTGTTACTTTATACTCCCTCTGTCCCATAAAATAAGTCCATTTTCCTTTTTGGGTCATCCCAAAAAATTGTTCCCATTTTCCTTTTTAGAAAGTTTTGTGTGGCTAACATTCATTTACCTTTTTCTTACTCAACCACAACCATACATTTCCACTTTATTCTCACTTTCTAAAGCTCTGTTCCAAATTGAAATGAAACTTATTTTATGGGACGGAAAGAGTGTTATATAAAGATTTATACTCCCTCCGTTCCCATTTTATCTTCCATTTCCCATGGGCACACAATTTAAGAAAAGTAGGTATTGTGTGGCGGAGAGTTGTGCAGAGCAGAGAGAAATGTGTAAGAAATGTTGTGAACCACAAATTCTTTACCAAAAGGGGAAAGTGAAAGTTTAATTGGAACGAATGAAAAATGAAAGTTGGAAGATATAATAGGAACGGAGGAAGTATTGTATTTGAAAGACATTTGAACAAAAAAATTGATTTGTCTTGGAATTGGCCACAAATTATTTGATTAGCCTCCGTCTCAAGTTCCTAACCCCTACGCAACTACCACAGACTGCCATCCAGCATCAGCCGTTCGTCCTCTTAGGTACTCGAAGTACAGGCGGGATCAGTCCGCTCGCCCTCTTCGTCAGTAGGTCACGCAATCACGGCTCACGCCGGTCGCTGGTCGGCCGTCGGCGGGCGACGCCTCTATTTGCTAGCCGCTAGGTCTCTGCTCGACTGAGCCTTGTTGTTCTGTTCTTCGCCTCTTCAGATTTGAGGTAAGGTTTTTAATTGTTTAATTTTGTTACACTTTTAATTTTCAGCTTTAGAATACAGCCTTTATTTCCAGAATTCCAGAATTTAGGATTTCCACTTTCCAGAAAGGGTTGTAATGGCTTTATTCTTTATACTTTAGGCTTTCAGCCATATATAATTCTAATTTTATAAATTATACGTAGTATTTATGTTTACTTCTTATTTGAGCGAGCCACTGGCCATTTTTAACATTTATTATTAATGTGATTTGCGATTTGTAAGTTGTGATTTGTCATTTGTGAACATCATTCACATTACTACATTAGCATCAATTTGATTGTGATTTTTTATTATTAATATCATTATTTAGTATTAATTCCATATTCTCATTAGTTCTTGTTAGTATTACTAGGGATTCACGGTGGATTTGTTTGTTTCAATATTAATCACAATAAATAAGTTAAATGAGTACACAATGAAAACATTTTTAATAATATAAAATGGGAAAAATTGATTGTAATAATCTCAACTATTGGCGGTCCGCTCATAATAATCTTAACTATAGATTATTACAGAATAATCCCAACTTTAGGGCCCTTCCGCCAATAATGGTCCGAGGTGATCGGCTATAAATAAATTCGTATAGTTTCTAAAGAGATAATAGGTAATCCCTATAAATAATCCCGAATTTTAACTTTTACGCTTAATTTCTATTAAAAATTCACTTGTTAGAGCATGTAATTTGCGGTCATGGACCATTATTGGCGGACAGTCCATATAGTTGGGATTATACAATAATAATCAATAGTTGAGATTATTGTTAGCAGACCGGTAATAGTTGAGATTATTATTTTCAATTTTTCCTATAAAATGTCAATGTAAAAGAATTATTAAGCACCTGAGAGTAATTTAGAAAGTACAAAACAAAGAAACAAGTATATCAAAATAAAATGTCAGTGTAATAAAATATAGTCCTTTCTACGCAATATGAAAAGATAAAATTGATTTTATAAATTTTGAAAAACTTCTTTATACGCAATATTAGTGGTCTCATTCTTGCTTTCATTGTCACAGTTTACAATCTAAAATTTTCAATCCTTTTCAGTTTGTAACCCAGGAAACATCATAGTGAAAATGTGTTCTCTTGGAACAATGAGATAAAAGATTATCACACACATGTTCTATATTCTCAAAAAAGATGGACAACTAAAACAGTAAATCGTATAGTGATCTTAACAATGTTTTAATTAGCATAAAAATATTGAGTGTTGATTCTTTTTTCTTATAATTTTCAAATGATTCTTTTTCAAAAAAGACTTGCGTTGTCAATATTTTAATGTTATAATGTTTGAAATTGTATGCATCATACTTATACTTTAGCATACTTATCATCCGTATATAAAGGGAAAAACAATTTATGTTATTAACTTTCTAGTTAATCTCTAACACCTTATCAAAATGTATTAAACCTATCTTTGCTGCATTGATTTGGAAAATCCGAACATATTACTTCATCATCCATATGATAATGTCCTCAAATAATATTAATTCAATAAGACATGCGCATTAATATCAGTTGATGAAAACCAGTACAGAACAGTCGTAAATTTGTGGTTTTTTTGTATTTGATTTGGCGAAAACTATTATTCCTGTAGTATTTATTTTTATCTTTGACTTTTTTGTTGCAATACACGTTATTTTGTACCTATTAAATTTTGGCCCTGACTGGATGCTTTGCTAGATCCGTCTCTGCTTTTAACCTTTTGTGGACGTACGATTCTGCCCAGCTCCTTCGGCCCTTTCTGCCCTTCTCACCTTTTGGTACTCCTCTTTAGCCTTTAACCATTTTATTGAGTAGTTCTTAGTTCATACAGACGTACAATCACAACTCATAGTTGTTGAATGTTGATAAATGATTAGTTGATTTGTTGTCTATTGGTGTGTTCTGTCCTTGTTGGTGTTGCCATTAATTGATTTATTGATTAATTCATTTGAGTAGCTTTTCAGTTGCTTGTTGATAAATGATTAGTTGATTTGTTGTCTATTGCTGTTTTCTGCCCTTGTTAATGTTGCCAAATTGATTTCTCTATTAATCTGATGTTTTATGCCCTTTTATATGTTGCCATTAATTGATTTCTTGATTACTTCATTTGAGTAGCGATTGGTTGATGTTGGCATGTTGCGGTTCTGCCTCTGTTAAATTAAGTGATTGGTTGATTAGTTCATAATGATTAGTTGATTTGTTTTATGCAATAAGTGATTTTTTTGTAGTAAAAAGTGAATTTTGTGCTAATGTTATTAATTATATGGCCAAAATTTTGAAATATGAAAGAGCAATATGGAAAAATATGTATAGCTTATATAGCATAGGATAGTCATTTTCAGAATTTTAAAATAAACATTGTTTATACAAATTGACTTCCATTTTAACAAATAAGATTTGCTCCTCGAACTTGAGAGTCTAATTATGGCAATATAACACATTTCATATTTCTTATATGGTGCATATAGGGACTGTGCAAAACCTGAGGGAGAGAAAGAATGTGAATGAAAGTCCACAAGGTGACGGTTGCAGGAAAAAGAATTACAGCCTCATGGAACCTAAATCCACAACACTTGCAGCTCCCCTGAACCCGGTGACTCCTAATTGCGCGGTGAATCCGACGGCGAAGAAGAACCGGGACTTCCTCATCCACCTCGAGGCCTACCTATCGAAGCGAGACGGCGTCGACAAGCTGCTAAAAATCTCTCGCTATGCCACCAAGATCATCCTCGCTTCATCCCTCCTCCCTCCCGGTGCTCCCCTCACCCACCGCCTCAAGTCCTTCGAATCCAGCGTTGGCATCAGCCGGAAAGCTTTCCGTCTCGGGAAATTCGTGCAAGACGTCAACTCCCTTCGTGCCTCCCCCGACCATATCCTCCTCTCCCTTCTCGCCTATGGGGGGGAGGGGTTATACTACTTCGTCGAACAGTTTGTTTGGCTGGGAAAATCTGGGCTGATCGACAAGAAACATCTGAATCGATTGCAGAAAATTAGTGCCTGGTGTGAGCTTGTAGGCTACATCGGCAGTGTGAGCTTGAAGGCGATGGAGCTACAGAGGATTGCCGAGGACGAGGCGTGTTTGGTTTCTAGCATTGAGATTGCGGTGGTTGGGGGTATTGCATGTGTAGAGGAAGGGGTGAGACTTAGGAAGTTGAGAGAGAAGAAGATGATGAAGAGGCTGTCCATTTTGCAAGATTTTGCTGATGCTTTAATGGCTTTAGCCGATATTAGAGATGGCAATGGATTGTTTTCTGGGCAACTGATACTCTCCTCTGCTGGGCTTCTTTCAGCTCTCATTAGCACTCACAAGAATTGGGTTTCCTGCTGATTGTACTATTCAATTCTCAGGTATGAGGTTTGTAGTCTTCCTGAATCATCCTTGTAGACATTAGGGAAGAATTGTAGAATTTATATGGTAGCAAGTTTGAGAGTTCTGTGCGGACTATCACATTGTAACTTGCAATACTTTATGGTACTGATTTTGGATGATCAATAATACTCTATTTGCAATATTATAAATTTATTATCCCGTGCACACGAGTACTATACTAGTAATTCAATTAGAGGACTTCAGTCTTACGAACGTTGGAAGGCGGGAAGTCTGAGATCGCTGAACAGAAGAGTGTCCAAGTGGCAAGCAATCGATCAAAGACTAGAGAGGGTCGACTATTCCATACATCGTCATTGATAGAAGAATGGCAACTCACCAAGTAATCGACGTAGCCAGCCAGCACTGGGCCATGTGACATCTAGCCCTAGTCTTCTGGTGCGCTGCACAACCTTTATTTCTACAAAAATGATGTTTGTACACACTCTTATACACACTTTTGTACACACCTATGTCTGTGAAAGCTTTTTTTTGTCAGTGAACATCGATTCACAGACAATGTTTTGCACAAACAAAATATTGTCCGTTAACCGGGTTCACATACAAAAAAAGCTTCACAAACATGGTGTGTATAAGATGTGTACAAGGGTGTGTACATCAAGCATGGTTGGCATAGCCCTACCCTCAATTTCTTTTTATGTGTATATACTAAACCATTATATACGGAGTTATAATAAAATTAGGCCAACTTTAAAAAAAGCCATATGGCATGGATAACACACGGGCTCATCCAAAACTTCAATTTCCAAGGCCCGAAAAAAGGGCCCAAATGTCAAATTAGACACGCACGCCCTAACATGTGTTGTAAAAGCCGGACCGAATCGTGTGGATTGACCCAAAACCCGGCGACCCGGATCTCGAGTGGCATGTCTACAATACCATATGTATGGTCAATTATCTTTTTTTTATATATGGTCAACTTATCTATTTGTGCTTGTGTAACCACTTGTTCTCGAGATTATTTTAATTTTTAAGTAGGACTCATGTAAAATATTAAATCTTATGGCTTTACTTAATATTAGTAACAGTCATAATAAGTTTTAGTATCAATTGTGTTTTATTCCAATAAATTTCTTATGCAACAATGCAACATACAAAATATCTATCAAATATATTTATACAATATTCTTTATTTTAATATAGCATTATGCTCACACATATATATACATCATATTATGACACCTCGTCCTACAAAATACAACTACTCGGCAGTTGGTCAATGAACGCGACACGTCGCTCTGTACAGCAGAGTAGGACTCTCGCCCATAGGTTAGCTTGCACGTGCACGTCAGCACGTGCATTTAATGCACCTAACATTGATTACTAGTAGAAGTACTATCAAATTACCCCTTGGAGTAGATGTAAACGATTTTGAATTCGTTACTATCAAATTACTTTCTCTGACCAACTCACAACTCTCTTTTCTCTCTACAATATGACTAGCGGTTACCGGTGAGCTACCATTAGGTGCTTTCATTGAGAAGAAGGACAATCAAGTTAGTACCCTCGTCGCTACTAACACTTCAGAATGGGAAGAACAAAAAGATCAAAGGCGACCCCACGACCGACCTTCACAATCAAATAAACAAAAACGCTTTTGTTGCTCGTCTCAGCATCGAGGCAAAGCGGAAGGAAAGAAATGACCCACCCCGGGCCATCTGACCACCCCTTCCATTGACATGCACACGACACTCTCCGTCATCCTCACCAACCTCTCTCAGAACTCAACAACTCTGAGTGCCTTCATCCCACAAACAAGAGAAAACTCAGCTCCTCCTCCTCCCCCCATCTCCTCCACCGCCCCCAGTAATCAACTTGATGGAGATCGGAAAAACTAAAGGTGTATTCCCTCAAGAAGCCACCTCGAAGACGGCCCCTCACCCCCACGCGCAAGTCAACTTTGAGCACGGACAGACATAAGCCTTCAATAATATAGGCTAGGTTCCAAGCAACGCCGAACCGATGTCTGAGAGACTCGGCGCCCAACATGATGAGCAAAGGCCCCGCTCCCCAGGAGAGCTGAGGTTCAGTGTCCCGGACAACGCAGAGGCAACCACTTGACAAGGGCTCCACAAGGAGGATGCACGACATGTGATCAACCAGGCACATGCAAGTAGAGTTCGAACACAACATTTGGACACCACACACGGAAGAGATCAAACAAGGTTGTGGATCGTTGCCCTTACCGCTACACTAAAAGCAATCGCTGACAGTGTAGCACGCTCCTCCCCTTTTACAACACAAGAAAAACGCCACGTGGTTCGATTGCACCGGCAGGCTGGCAGATTGCTTGCACTGCATACCGCGGCCCAACAATCTCCTCCCAGCACCTGTCAGCCTCAACTGTGCATCATGCAGTTGCCGGGGGTCGAACCCGTGACCTTGGCTCTGATACCACTTGTGGATCATTGCGCTTACCGCTACACTAAAAGCAGTCGCTGATAGTGTAGCACACTCCTCCGCCTTTATAGCACAAGCGAAGTGCCACACGATTCGATTGCATCGACAGGCTGACAGATTGCTGACACTGCATACCCGCGGCCCAACAAAGGCTACACCAAAATAATGGGTCAACACCACTAGTCCGTACATGCCCCCTCAGCTAGTGACACCTCATCCAAACTCGAGGTCCATATCCAAGACAAATTCTCGTTCAAGGTAAGGAAGCAACAAGGACAAGGTCCACAAGCACCTCGGGCACTGATACCACTTGTGGATCGTTGCGCTTACCGCTACACTAAAAGCAGTCGCTGATAGTGTAGCACACTCCTCCGCCTTTATAGCACAAGCGAAGCGCCACACGGTTCGATTGCACCGACAGGCTGACAGATTGCTGACACTACATACCCGCGGCCCAACAAAGGCTACACCAAAATAATGGGTCAACACCACTAGTCCGTACATGCCCCCTCAGCTAGTGACACCTCATCCAAACTCGAGGTCCATATCCAAGACAAATTCTCGTTCAAGGTAAGGAAGCAACAAGGACAAGGTCATACAAAATACAAACTACTCAACATTTGGTCAGCAAACGACACACATCACTCTACGACACATCACACCAAGGCTCTCATCCATACATTAGTTTACACATGCATGTGTTTAATACACCGAGCATTGATTACTTGTATAAATACCCCTTGGGGCAGATGTAAACGGTTCTAAATCCTTTAATATTAAATTACTTTCTCTCTAACTCACAACTCTCCATTCTTTCTAGAACACCATTAACGATTTACCAGTGATTTGTCAAGTAGTTTTTACCGTATAACTTAATTGGGAAAATTGTCAAATAGATACATGTATTTTTGTGGAAAACTCAATTGAGTTCTACTACTTTTAAGCGAAGCAATTAGGTCCACGAAGCGTTAAAAATTGATCAATTTAGCTATTCTGCCGGTAATAATCCGATTTTGCCGGTTGACGGGTGACATGGACGTCCAAACGGGTTTTATTTTGTTTTACTGTTTCATTATTTTTTATTCTTTTTCGTTTCTTTTAGTTTTTCTTTTTCCTTTCTGGTTTCTCCTTCTTTCTTTTTACTTTTGTCTTTTTCTCTTCTCTCCTGTTGAATACGTTTGTTTTGTTGATGACTAACCATACAGGGGAACGGCGAATAGAACCGCTCACGGTTCCTTGAGTAACAGGAACGAATGGATATTATTAATTTGATTGACTAACCATGCAGGAGAAACTAAAACACAATCCGTGATATGATTTGAGTTAATACAGATTGTACCTACTTGTTCTTTTATTGCTATGATTTCCTATATATAAGTAATTATTCTCTTTCCACAATTGATATAGCTTAAGTATGGTACGTAAAATATTCCATAGCTACACGGTTATGACAGTATAAAAGCTGGTTGAAATATATTCCATATCTAAATGAGTTGATTGCTTATATTGAGAAAAATATTCTTACCTTCTTTAATATTGACCAAAGCCTACCTTATTCGGTAATTAATTGATTAACTCAAAAAGATGCACGAGATATTTGTATCTAGTCTTAGTCCAGGGCCGATATATATGATGGTTAATCCGGCTGCCTTAAACATTGAGCTCGAATATGGGAAGTATTATAAAGAAGGAAAGCAATTCAAAATATTGGAGCAAGTCCCAAGATTAGAAGATCAACTATTCAAGGAAGGATGCTTAAACGGTCTGCCCAAGACAGCCTATATAAACGAAGAAGCCAAAGAGAAATGTGTGTGCTTGACCAAGCTTCTATTGAGATATATACACTAGAATATTTACTAAGTCCAAGGCACCTGAACCTGCTCACGGAGTTCCAGACTGAGTTTCCTTTTCTTTCTTCTTATTGTAATTTGGTTTTTTTGAGGATTGGCTAAGTGTAGCATCCTCGGGACGGTTAGTGTGTTGTGAGAGCTTTGTTGTAAAGCTGAGAGGCTCTCTACCCGCAAGGTAGAGATGCATAACTCTTCCTAGAGAGGATAGAGTTGGGGTGGCTCAAGGGTAGACTAGAAGAGTTTCCCTTGTAATCATTCAAAGGCTTTTTAGTGAAGTTGTTCAAATTCCTCCGAGGGAGGTCGAGGTTTTTTAATCGCTTTGAGCCAAGGGATTTTTACTCGTTAAATCCTTGTGCACTTTATTATTTCGTAATTCCCTAGACCCACACTAGAACTGTGCGAAAAACTGCCACCGTTCCACACACACACAATTCACCCCCCCCTCTTGTGTTGCTAACCGTTTCATCAATTGGTATCAGAGCCGGTCTTCACCACATAAAGGTTAAAACCTTGGGAAGAGATCCGACATCATGAATACGGTTGAACGATTGGAGGAAGGATACTCGACTCAACGACCACCGTTGTTCAACGGCAAATTTTATCATATCTGGAAGAGTCGAATGGAGAACTTCATCAAGACTGAGAACTACCAGGTATGGAACGTAATTGAGGTAGGCGATAACATCATCACTAAGGAGGATGCCGAAGGTAAGGTTATCCCTAAACCCAAATCTGAATATACTTCTAATGATTATTGTAAACTCGAGCATAATGCTCAAGCATTGAAATATTTGATTTGTGGACTTGGTCCTGCTGAGCACAACCGGGTTCTTGGATGCAAATCCGCAAAACAAATGTGGGATTTACTTGAGGTTACGCATGAGGGTACCTC